GCCCCGGGTTCTGGCGTGGAGGATTCCGGGGCTGGGGAGGAGTTGACTTGGGGGGGCCTGTGCCCCAGTGGTCCCTGCTTGGGTGTTTGGTACCCCTTGGTGTGGGGCTTGTTACAGGAGGAGGGGTTTTCCTATCCTCCTCCCTGTACGATTTTGTTATGAGTTCGACTCCTCCCCGGGTTTGGTTCCGAGTTCCCTTGGGTTGTTCGGTTCCCTCCTGCTGGAGGTTTTTTGCTTCCCGCGTCCCACTGAGGTGGTGTGGGAGACCCCTTGCGGCTTACCTCCTGCAAGACCTGGATTACGCCTCGATAATTAAGCCTTCTTTTTGAGTTTGGCTCCTCCTTATAGGGTGCGTTACAGGGTGCAGGAGTCTTCCTGGCTGGCAGACTACCTTTTCTTCGTAAGGGGCTTGGTATTTGTCCTGTCGGACTGCACACTTGAATGGCGAGAGTTACCTACGGTCGTTCAGGTTTTCCTGGGGAGTGAGTTGGAGCACCTCAAGGCATGCTTGTTCGCCCCTGTCCTTCCTTATGATGTCAGCCAAGTGTGACTTCATGTGCAGGTTCCCTCCCTTTCGACATCCCTGGTGGCCGAGGATTTGTGCGCCCATGGGCAGTTGGCTTTGGTTTTGCGCTTCTTTTTTCCTGCTGGAGCTGTCTTTGTACTGGCTCGTGCTGGATATGGAGGAGCGGGGGTCCGGTGTGTTTGCTTCGGCAGCTTGGGTGCCAGCTGCTTTGGGGGAGTTGTATGCACTGTTTCTGAGGGAGGCGGTGTCTGTTCTTCGCTTCTCGCCTCGCGTGCTGACATTCGGTGTTCATCAAATTTTTGGAGCCATCTTGGGCCCTGGCTCTTAGTTTTTCTTCCCCTTTTTGTCATTTGCTGTTTGCAGAGTCTGTGGTGGTGCATTTTCTGCAGGTGGCTTCGTCTAGTTGACGGCCTTGTCGGACTTGTAGGTTCTCCGGGGAGGCCATGGAGGTCCTGCCCAGAAGGGTCGTGCCAGGTCTTGGGGTTCCTTCGGTCATTGTAAGCCAGTCATGCCAAATTCGGGGCCGGCTGCGCTGTCAAATCATCTGTGAGTGGGTTTGCTTGGGCATGGTCAAAATAACGGCGTCTCTCAGGTGGGTTTCCCGCCTGTTTCCGGTTCCAAAACGGGACTGTGCAGACCTGCGTTTCATTCCGGACTTGTCCCATCTGAACCCCTGGGTCTTTTGCCCCTCCTTTTGGATGACCACTCTGTCTCGGGTCCGACTTCTTTTGGAGCCGGGCACTTGGATGGTGCCCCTGGACCTTAGGGATGAGTATTGACACATCCCAATTCATCCGGGGTTCAGGGACTGGCTCGGTTTTGTCATAGGGCGACAGGCATGCCAATTTTGTAGCTTTCCATTCGGCTTGAATCTGGCACCTCGTGTGTTCACACACACCTTATTCAGATCGTGGTGACCCATTTGCACCTGTTAGGAGTTTGGGTTCTGGCTAGTCTGGACTTCCAGCCAGTTCGAATGTCTGCTCGCCATGTATTTGGTCCTTTCCCAGCTCGCAAGTTCGGGTTCTTGGTGAACTGCAAGAAGTCCCATTTGGTTCCCTCTCAGGTTCGAACTTGGCTGGGTCTTGTGTGGGACTCTTGGACCGCTTCCTTGTTTCTCCTTCCAGCACCATTGCTGCAGCTGTATTCGCACCTTTGGCTGTTTTTGTAGGACACCCAGGTCACTTGTTGGTTGTTCGAGCAGCTGTGTGGGAGTTTGAACTTCGCCGTGCTGGTCTACCCGTCGGGTTGGATCTGGCTTCGCCGGCTGTTCTGGTTCCTTCGGGAACATCCCTTCCGACACACTTGCGATCACTGGGTTTGGACCCTGGGGGCCTTACACCGGCTCCTGCATCACCAGCTTCCTCTTCAGGTTTTTTTTTGGTTCAATACTGTGGCACCTACCCAAGCTCTCACTCGATGTGTTCACAGATGTGTCGTCTCTCACTTGGGGCTTTGTGACCAATGCTCACCAGGCTGGGAAGGATCGGTGGGATCCGTCTTTCTGTCGGGCTCACAGCACGGTGCTGGAGTTAGCAGCGGTGTGGTTTTTGCTTCAGAGGGATTTTGTCACTCGCTGTATGACGATTCGGCTCCATTCGGACTGTTCCCCAGTGGTTCATTGCCTGAACAGAGGGGTTCAATGCGGTCCTTGGCTCTTTGGGGCTGGTCGCTTCGGGTGACTTGTCTGCTGAATTCTCATGGTTTGGCTCTTGGCGGTTCATATCCAGGGGGAGGGTGTCCAAAGTCCTGGTGAACAGCCTGTCCCGGTTCATTTCCCTGTCCACGGAATGGACGGTCGACACCGACTCATTCTGTTGGCTCTGCTGGACGTTTGGGCACCCAGAGATGGAACTCTTTGTGTCAGCTTGGTCGAGGCATCTTCTGGTATATGCAGCACCCTTCCGCCAAATGAGAGGCCGTCGGGGTCGATTGCCTTTCATCTGGACTGGTCGAGGTGGGGTTACCTGTACCTCTTCCCCCCCCCTGGTTCAGTTGTTGCTCCAGGTTCTAGCTTGCTCAGAGACTTCCCAGGGTAGTCTTGTTCGCCCCCTTGGTGGCCGGCCCAGCCTTGGTTTCAGGCGCCGCTTGTTCGGTGTCCGAACCCTAGGGGTCTTCCCATGGCTCTGCCTCCTTCAGCAGATTGGTCCGGTCTGGCATGTGGCTGGTTCAATTTCCTCTTCCGATCTTCACGCCTGGTCTTTTTGACGTGGGTTTATCATCACTTGTATGGTGATCAGGTGGCTTCGTTGATGGTGTCCCACCTGCAAGTTTCGTCTCGGTGGCAGTATGAAGTTTCCTGGCAATTCTTTCCTCACTTCTTGACTCTTTGTAGGTTGTCTTCGATTTCTGATAGGGTTGTTTTGTCCTTTCTCTCTTGGTTGTTTCAGGATCGGTGCATATTAGTGACTTTAGGCATTGTATGTACTAGCTCTATCTATAAATCCAACATAATGTTTGTAGCTCATCTTCTATGTATGTACTTTTACCTGAATAAACATTTTATTTTAATTTTTTTTTATTTTTGACATATCACACACCACCAAGCAGACAACCCTACCTTCCTCACCAAAATGGCTCCTCCCAACATACAGTGGCACCTCGACTTACGATTGCCTCGACTTACGATAATTTCGAGTTACGATGTAAATTTGATCGAAAAATGCGACTCGACATATGATGGTGTCGTCGACAAACAATATATGTTGTTACACGTTCGGGTCGACTGAGCGCGTGATTCCCGGTCACGCGAGCCGACCAGCCCCAGTTTACTACAGCTGCTTGCTTAGTGACGATCACGCCTATAAGAAATTCCGTTTTTGTGGTGATTTTTTGCTTTTTGAACAAAAAAGTAATTATTATATATCACACCATGGGTCCCAAGAAAGTCAGTGGTAAGGTTCAATATATGAAAACCCATGTAAGGATGACCATAGAGCAAAAACAAGAGATCATTCGTGATTATGAAGATGGTGTGCGGGTTGTTGAACTGGCTAGGCAGTACAACAAATCTCAGTCAACGATATCCACCATACTGGCTAAGAAAAAGGACATTACGAGTGCTAAATTGGCAAAAGGCGTATCAATAATCATGAAACATAGAACACAAACACTTGAGAATGTTGAACAGTTATTATTAATTTGGATACACAGCAAGGAGTTAGCGGGTGATAGAGTTTCAGAGGCCATCATTTGTGAAAAAGCAAGGAAATTACACGAAGACCTTTAAAGAAAATCCCTGGAACGAGTGATGCAAATGCGAAAGAGTTTAAGGCAAGCAGGGGATGGTTTGAGAAATTTAGAAAAAGAAGTGGCATTCATAGTGTTCCGAGTGTTGTGTGTTGCGAGCTGGTGGAGGAACACAGCGAAGAACTGACCACTGAAGAACTTCACAAGGAGCAGCAACAAGAGACAGCTGAGGAAATTTCCTCAGGGGAGGAGGAGACAGTACAGAATGTCCCTTCCTCATTAATTAAGAAAATGTGTGCAGCATGGGAAGAATTGCAAACTTTTGCTGAAACGACTCAACCAAATCACGGTGCAGTAGGCTGTTGCCTTAACTTTTTTAATGACACTGCGATGCTTCACTACAGACAAAAATTTAAACATGGAAAAACAAAAATCTCTGGAAAGGCTTTTAGTGAGACAAACAAGCAGTGAATCACAACCAGTTCCTAGTGGTATGCAGGCAAAACATAAGAGAGAGTGTACCCTAGAGAAGTCCTCACTGCCTGATGTTATAATGGAGGGGGACTCCCCTTCCAAACAGTAACACCTCTCCTCCTTCCCCCTCCTCACCATCTTCCATACGCATCATGAGTCCTCCATAAAGGTAAGATAAACATGTACTGTATTGTAGTTAGAAAAAACATTGTATTCCGTATAAAATGTATTTGTAAGTTAATATTTTGGAGGGTGGGGAATGGATTAATTCAATTCCCTTTATTTCTTATGGGAAAAATCGCTTCGACTTACGATATTTCAACTTACGATCCGTCTCTGGGAACAGATTACCATCGGAAGTCGAGGCCCCACTGTACTCCTTTTGCTGTTATTGTATTTCACTATATACATACACATTATATGTACGTATCTATATTTGTGTACACCATAGCGAACTACTAAGCTGGTATGGTGAATCCAGACAATAACAGGTGGTCACAGCAGGTTTGGGGCCTGACGGCTGAGTGGACAGCGTTCGGATTCATAGTCCTAGGGTCCGGGGATTGATTCCTGGTGGAGGCAAAAACAAATGGGCAGAGTTTCTTTCACCCTGATGCCTATGTTAACCGAGCAGTAAATAGGTACCTAGGAGTTAGACAGATACTATGGCCTGCTTCCTGGGGATGTATAACAAAAAGGAGGCCTGGTCAAGGTATATGTATTACAATTTACTTTGATGAAATTTTATGTTTCTAATGCTACAACTACAGTGTATTTTTTAATGTTAATTTATATTTCATTTTACTTTTAGAAACAAGAGCAGGAAAAAAGGGAAGCAGTGCGGAAAAGTGCGGAAAAGAAACCGGGAAAGAAGGCGTGGAAGAGAGCTGGAAAAAAGAGTGATGGAAAGAAGGATGAGAAAAATGTGGAGAAAGAACATAGAGAAGTAGGTGAAGAAGAAGATGGTGATAAAGGTGGAGAAGTGAAAATAGAAAGAATATGGAAGGTAGGTAAGCAGGTTAACAAGAAGGTGTTGAAGAAAACTGGAAAGATGGTAGAGAAGAATGATGGTAAGAAGGACGAGAACAAGACAGAGAAAGAAAGAGGGCAAGTGTAATAATATAATGATATAAAAACCTTGATACAATACAGAGTTTCATCTTACATGATAAAAGTGTCATTAGTCTCGTAAATAAAGTTATTTGCTGGAGATACTCTTATTATTTAGTTAAGAATTACTGAACTGTAATTACCTACTGTGTATTTAGTGTGGTGCTTACCAGTTGAAGATACTAGGAGTTGATACAAGAGTGTGGAGAGAGAGAGTTAGCAATTTAGCCTAGCAGGAATTCATACCTGTGATTGTATATTTATATATAATTCTATATTTTCATTGTATAGAACAATTCATATGTTAATACCTTTTTGAATCTGGCAACTATTGCCCGAGGCATTCCATTAATTTTTCTGTGATTCCAAAAGAGTGCCGCCTCTGTCAGTTCTTCTGTATGCTCTGTGAAAATAAATTTAGTTATTCATTGACATCTTAAAACTGTGTGTCTCAAAATACTGATTGGAAAGTAAAAGGATGATGATATTGATGCTGTCTTAAGTGGAATGAATTAATTGTTATTTACATGTACATGTATATGTTGGTTGCATATGAGTATAATGCTACTTTATATGAGCCAAAATGCCTTTCTGCAATTTCCTATATTCTTATATTATTTTATAACATTATTTGGATATATATATATATTACCATTGTACTGATTTGATTAAAGGTACAAAATTTAGAACTAGATTAAACAAAAATTAACACATACCACCAGCTTTAAGCATATTCTTAGTGTTGTTGTTATATCTTGAAAGGTAGGAAAATACTTGCTCTGCCTCCTCCCCAGATGTCAGGCCACTTCCTTCTTGCCACCGCCCTCCATACAAAACCTTTGACATAATAGCATAACGTTTGTTAAAAACTACCTACTGTATTAACAATTTGCATTTAACATAGATAAATCTTTACATATAAGAGTTTAAAAGAAATTATATTTTCCAACTTACAGTAAAACAAAGTCAAAATATTATTACAGTATTAGATTATTTACCTGACAATACCAAGAATGTCCTTTGGCATGTAGGACTCCTAAAAAAGGCTTTCCTTGCCCAACTGAGAACTTCTGTTCTCTTGATGAAACCTTTAAGGCCCATGGCCAGTATTTACAGATGATATCCTGGCATATGAAGGACACATTTTGTAAACAGTTCATTTGCAAATAGTGGGCATAACTGTAGAGCTCTCCCTGATACATATTTAATGCAGCAAGAATAATTCCATGTCAACTGGAAGCATGCTTATGCCGGTTTCATCCAAACTTCTAAATGAAGCAGGTTTATTTTTGGCAGCTTTCACTGTCGACACTCCACACATGTGGCTACTCTGTTGGACAAAAGTAAAATTATATATATATATATATATATATATATATATATATATATATATATATATATATATATATATATATATATATATATATATATATATATATATATATATCTTAGTTTGTTATATATATATATATATATATATATATATATATATATATATATATATTAATGTCATATATAAATGTAATTTTTTTATGTAATATTTTTCATCATTCAATATGCATTCCATATGTTTTATAGATTTTTTTGAACATGATATAGTTAGCAACCGTCCAATTAATATACATTATTGATAATGTCTCAAGCTAATATATAAAGGTACTCTTCAAGTATTGTATGGGTAAAAACCTGGTATTAGGTCTTAGGTTTCTATTTGAAAACCTATTTTTAGGTTTTCGACCAGATGTAAAAATATTCTTACTGTACTTGAGTTTTAAGGTTATGAATAGTGGAAACGTGATCTTGAACTTCTTTGTCACAAATGAAGATACCACCAGAATAATATGAGTTTCTGATCCCTCTGGAATGATATTAAATTAATGAATGTTCATTGTGTGAGACATTTTGATGACAGTTAAACATCATTTCACTTAAAACTAATTCAACTACCCAAGCTGGCATTCACATCATAATCCCTCTTATTCTAAATGAATGTATATAGTGAAATAAATATTTTTAATTAGTAAAGCCTTAGTCCAAATAAAAAATTCAACTGAAGTTGAAAGGCAAGTAATAAAAGTGAAATCAGTTAACAATTAAAAAAAATCTGATTAAAAGTTGCATGACACTATATAAATATTATACAGTGCTGTGTTTATAGTACTACAAACATATTACTACACCTTACATTATACCTTAACAATAATGAGCAGCATTAAATATTGGTAACTTGAATATTTACCTCACAACTTTGTTGTAACGATACAGTTTCTTGTTGCCATCAATATGTACAGCCACAGGTGTTGTATCACATGCAGGGCACTCATTGTCAGATTCTCCTTTTATTCTCCCAAGTTCATACTGATGGAAATGCCATTCAAAGAAGACTCTTTTGTTGTCTCAAAATTGATGGGACCTTGCTAAGATGTAAAATGTGTGTAATTATCAAAAAGTGCCAAGCAGTGGCATGTTAAGCAACAGACTATAAATACCTGCAGGAAATGAAAATAAACTTACATGAGCATTACATAAAAAGAGAAATTGTTAAAGATTGGTAATCCATTTCCATTTCTTATGATATTAGACATATATAAAATATATATTTAGAATATTCATACTAGTTATTAATTTAATTATATTTAACCCTATTTCTTAAATAATGACAATGCGTTTGCTTAGTAACAAACTTAGTTTTTAAGTTAATACACCAATTTAATACTTGCACTATTAAAACAGTAATGGTATGAAAACTTACATGCCCTCGAGAAGCACCAAATAATTCCAGTGCACTAACTAATGCCTGAAGAGAAGTTCCAGGGCTGCTTCTCTTGAGAAAATGCCAGGAATCCAATAGATTTATGCTGTAGAAAGTGCTACTATTTCTTCCAGTTGAATAAAACCAGACTGGTGCATGGCTTTTCCAAGTTCTTCATCTACATATCCGCACTTGCGCCTAAATATTGGGGTATACAGATCATACCTTCCTGCCCCCCACAAAAAAAAAAAAAAATGAAGTAAAACAATTTTATTTGGCAAGGGATTCAAGTGTGACTATCAATATATGTGTAAACCAACCCATAAACAATTCTCTGTATGGTTATAAATACGTATGTGATATAAATACGTCTTCATAAGTGAAGATACAGTGGTAGAGAGTGAAGTATAAATGGTTATGATGATGAAGACTGTAGCCTGGGTCACCTGAGCAATGCCAGCTACCAATACTAGTATCAAATAAATGTTTCTTAAAGTAACCTACCACTTAAAGTTACAAAGATGCACAAATTATTGGAGCTTAAAGTTGTGAACTTGCTCTCATTGCAGTTCGGGCAGGAATTAGGTGGATGTGCTGGTACAACAGGCTCTGGTAACAATTAAATTTACAAGATCAGCTATGCAGCAAAATAAATACATGTTTCAATCATTACATTTTAAATTACTAATAATTTTTTTAGCATTAAGCCTCTGCATCACTCAATTGAGAATCTGCATCCCTCTCCTAAGCCTCTACCTCACTCTTTTAAGCCTCTGCATCACTCTCGTAAGCCTTTGAATCTCTCTCTTGAGCCTCTGCATCCCTCTCTTGAGCCTCTGCATCACTTTTCAGCCTCTTCATCCCTCTCTTGAGCCTCTGCAAGACTCTCTTCAGCCTCTGCATCACTCTTTAGCCTCTGAATCCCTCTCTTGAGGCCTCTGCATAACTCTCGAGCCTCTGCATCACTCTCTTGATCCTCTGCATCACTCTTGTAAGCCTCTGAATAACTCTCTTGAGCCTTTGCATCCCTCTCTTGAGCCTCTGCATCCCTCTCTTAAGCCTCTGAATCACTCTCTTAAGCCTCTGCATCCCTCTCTGGAGCCTCAGCATCCCTCTCTTGAGCCTTTGCATTACTCTCGTAAGCCTCTGCATCCCTCTCTTGAGCCTCTGCATCACTCTCAAGAGTCTCTGCATCCCTCTCTTGAGGCTCTGCATCCCTCTCTGGAGCCCCTGCATCCCTCTCTTGAGCCTCTGCATCCCTCTCTTGAGCCTCTGCATCCCTCTCTTAAGCCTGTGCATCACTCTCTTCAGCCTCTGCATCACTCTCTTCAGCCTCTGCATCCCCTCTCTTAAGCCTCTGCATCACTCTCTTAAGCCTCTGCATCACTCTCTTGAGCTTCTGCATCACTCTCTTGAGCGTCTACATCACTCTCTTGAGCCTCTGCATCACTCTCGTAAGCCTCTGCATCACTCCCTTGAGCCTCTGCATAACTCTGTTGAGTCTCTGCATCACTCTCTTGAGCCTCTGTATCCCTCTCTTGAGCCTCTGTAACACTCTCTTCAGACTCTACATCACTCTTTTAAGCCTCCGCATCCCTCTCTAGAGCCTCTGAATCCCTCTCTTGAGCCTCTGCATCACTCTCGCAAGCCTCTGCATCACTCTCTTCATTCTCTGCATCCCTCTCTTGAGCATCTGCATCCCTCTCTTGAGCATCTGCATCACTCTCTTCAGCCTCTGCATCCCTCTCTTGAGCCTCTGCATCACTCTCTTGAGCCTCTGCATCCCTCTCTTAATCCTCTGCATCACTCTCATGAGCCTCTACATCATTCTCTTTAGCCTCTGCATTACTATCTTGAGCCTCTGCACTACTCTCTTAAGCCTCTGCATCTCTCTCTTCAGCCTCTGCATCACTCTCTTGAGCCTCTGCATCCCTCTCTGGAGCCTCAGCATCCCTCTCTTAAGCCTCTGCATCACTCTCTATAGCCTCTGCATCCCTATCTTAAGCCTCTGCATCACTCCCTTAAGCATCTGCATCCCTCTCTTGAACTCCTGCATCCCTCTCATGAGCCTCTGCATCCCTCTTTTGAGCCTTTGCATCACTCTCTTAAGCCTTTGTATCCCTCTCTTAAGCCTCTGCATCACTCTCTTCAGCCTCTGCATCACTCTCTTGAGCCTCTGCATCCCTTCACTTAAGCCTCTGCACCAATCTCTTAAGCCTCTGCATCACTCTCTTGAGTGTCTGCATCACTCTCTTGAGCCTCTGCATCACTCTCTCAAGCCTCTGCATCACTCTCTTCATCCTCTGCATCCCTCTCTTGAGCATCTGCATCACTCTCTTGAGCCTCTGCATCACCCTTTTATGCCTCTGCATCCCTATTTTGAGCCTCTGCATCACTCTCCTGAGCCTCTGCATCACCCTCTTATGCCTCTGCATTCCTATTTTGAACCTCCGCATCACTTTCTTAAGCCTCTGCATCCCTTTCTTGAGCCTCTGCATCGCTCTCTTGAACTACTGCATCCCTATCATGAGCTTCTGCATCCCTCTCTTGAGCCTTTGCATCACTCTCTTAAGCCTCTGCATCCCTCTCTTGAGCCTCTGCATCACTCTCGAAAGCCTCTGCAGCACTCTCTTGAGCCTCTGCATAACTCTCTTGAGTCTCTGCATCACTCTCTTGAGCCTTTGCTTCCCTCTAGTGAGCCTCTGCAACACTCTCTTCAGCCTCTGCGTCACTCCCTTAATCCTCTGAATCCCTCTCTTGAGCCTCTGAATCCCTTTCTTGATCCTCTGCATCACTTGCTTGAGCCTCTGTGTCACTCTCTTGATCCTCGGCATCACTCTCTTGAGCCTCAGAATCACTCTCTTGAGCCTCTGCATCACTCTCTTGAGCCTCTGTATCCCTCTCATGAGTCTCTGCATCACTTTCTTAAGCCTCTGGATCCCTCTCTTCATCCTCTGCATCACTCTCTTGAGCCTCTGCATCATTCTCTTGAGCCTCTGCATCCCTCTCATGAGCCTCTACATCATTCTCTTGAGCCTCTGCATCACTCTCTTGAGTCTCTGCATCACTCTCCTTAGCCTCTGCATCTCTCTCTTCAGCCTCTGCATCACTCTCTTGAGCCTCTGCATCCCTCTCTTAAGCCTCTGCATCACTCACTTAAGCCTCTGCATCACTCTCTTCAGCCTCTGCATCCCTCTCTTGAGCCTCTGCATCATTCTCCTAAGCATCTGCATCACTCTCTTGAGCCTCTGCATCACTCTCTTGAGCCTCTGCATCCCTATCTTAAGGCTCTGCAGCACTCTCTTAAGCCTCTGCATCACTCTCTTTAGCCTCTGCATCACTCTCATGAGCCTCTGCACCACTCTCTTGAGCCTCTGCATCACTCTCTTCAGCCTCTGCATCACTCTCTTCAGCCTCTGCATCACTCTCTTCAGCCACTGCATCCCTCTCTTGAGCCTCTGCGTCATTCTCCTAAGGCTCTCTATCCCTTACTTGAGCCTCAACATCCCTCTCATGAGCCTCTGCATCCCTCTCTTGAGCCTTTGCATCACTCTCTTAAGCCTCTGCATCCCATTCTTGAGCCTCTGCATCACTCTTTTGAGTCTCTGCATC